GATAAACAGACCTCGCTGGAACGCGACTGCTTATTCGCGTAAGTCCGTAAGTCAACCGCCGTAATTACCTTTGTTATTCTTCCATTAAATTCCTATCGAGTTCAACCTGAGTGCTCGGTTGACAAAAACAATTTTGTAATCAACGATATGTACATACAGGGAGTTGCCAAATTATCGACGAATTATCGGTGAATTTTGCACGACGATCCTTTATGCATAAAAATTCACATTTCTATACTGCACGGTAGAAACGATTTTACTGAAAAAAATAATTTTAATATTGCTGAATGCAGATCTGAAAATAAATTTTGTCGGACCATCAAAAGAATGTTGGGAACGCAAAGAAGCTGGTCGCTAGAATATCACAATTTTTTTATACTTTACGACGCCGTGGTCGATTAGTTTGTTTTTAGTTTATATAATGTCTCTCTTGAGCGAAAGAGCTCAAGATTGCTTTATTGAAATAAACGAGTCATATAATCGTCGACAGTTTTCGAGCTATTTCTCTTGAAACTTTTACATCAAATTTTCTTGATGACGCATACTCCTCTAATATTAATAGGTCATTCTCTAAGGGAGACATTCACGTACACCCGGAAATCGTAAAAGTGTAACGTTTTGATCGTTATCGGAATTAACACTGCGTGTGATATTCGACGCGCATATGTAGGCCACGGGCTTCTGGCTTCTTCTAATTCGATTTGCCTAGATCGTATCCTGTAATTGAGTCTGTTACACATAACTATTTAATTCTCGCCATTTCGACATTCGTTTGCGTCTACATATTTAATCACTCATGTACTTAATTCTTAAAATGTCTGTTATTTTCGTGAAGAGATTAGATTACTTTCACGGTATAAATTATTTTACGTTTCGTCAATTTAATATGTTAAAATGAGAAGAGAGCGTTGTGGTTACAATGGATAAATTTTGGAGTAAAATAACGTTAGCATACCTTCCTCTGTTTACGAAGTTAAGAAAATGTCGATCCTGTACAAGACCATTATACTTATATTTGAGCGAACGGGGCGTTCATTATAACCGCATGATAACGTGATACTTTCATATTCGACAGGATGGTAAACGGATAAGTAAACGCGGGTGGAAGACGCGAGACCCCGGTATCCAGGGCAACCGGACCCCATCTCATCCTCCGCGGTTCCGAGAGCGTTTCTAGATGTCTTCTTAAGTTGCCGGAACAAACTTCGACTCGGTAGAACAACGTGTAATGCCCGGAGGGCGGCGCGGCGGGTAGCGCTGTCGAAAGGAAAAACAGGCGAGGAAGAAATTTACTTACAGCACGGGATTACTGTTTCGCCCCGGGTCATCTTCCGTGCCTCGTGCAACGAGTAATTTAACTCGCCTCTTCCGCGTCGAAAGGCGCCCGCGACGATCCTTTTGTTTCTGTTAATTAATACAGAGGACGCGCAATTTAATTTCTCGGCAAATTAAATTCCTGTAGCACGTCTCTCGCGGCGTTAACGCGAAATGAAAAGATTTAATTAAAGAATCGGCCCGCGGAGTGGGCGTAAGCTGGACGAAAAACATAAATTAAAGCGTCTTTAAAGAGTCAATCTTCTTTTTTTAATCCCAGCTACTACACGGAAATTACATTTAAATATACTTCAAGCTGCGTTTTATCCGCGTTAACAGTCAACAGATATTATTTATCAGCGCCGATACAGATCGATTGCTATCGCTACGGGATACTTCTTTACGGCACCCTCGCTCCTCGTTCCTTTCTCTTGGGTCGAGTCTGAAACTCCGAATCGCGTAATGTTCCCGCAATTTTCCGGAGACTTCAAAGGAGCACCGTAGGACCGTAGCGAAGATCACAATGAACGATCGTTATGCGTATTCAAAATGGTCCTGCCTAGGTAGGGTAGGGTGTAGCCAGGAGTCCCGGCTATTGTTGACCCTTCGCGTTTCTGGAAAACGCAGCCGATTGTGCAAGCCCGGGCTCACGTGTGTAAAGCGGATGTTGATGGATCTACCTCTCTCTCGCCGCGACCCTCCCTCTCTCGTCTCGATCCCGCGGAGGATGTTAGATTCAGAAATATTCGGAAGGACTGTGCAAACGGTCGCACGCTCATCGTTTTATCGCTGCCGATTTGGGCATTTTTGTGTAAGTCCAACAGGTGACTGCATCTTAAATTCTTGCATTAATCTCCTTCGCTTTCTCCACACACACACGCGCCTCTTTTAATCTCATTTTTGACGAAGTAAAATCGCCTCTCTTTAATCTGATGTACTTCGATCGCTTACTCAAACCTCCACATTCGCGGCGACGTAAATTTTGCCGTAATCTGACGTTAGATCCTGTTGCCTCGCTCGACGTATATATAGGCAAGGAAATAAAAAAGGTAAGTTCCGCCCGGATCATATACGTTATACGGCCCATCCTCGCGTCCTTTCTTTCTTCGTGGCTTCCACGGAGCCACGATCCGCAGGATGTAGCCGTCTGCTGTCCGCATCAGAAGCACACACATGACAAAACCGATGACTGATGACGCGGGGGCACCCTCTCTCCCTGGCGCGCGAACTTTTGTTTATTCGCATCTCCGTCTCCATCGATCAATGGCCACCGCGGACTTTCCGCGTAAGAAACCGTAGAAGGGGATTCTATGAAGTCCCGTAATATCGAAGTCGAGCGGTACCTCCGTAAACGCTCGTTATCAATAAACGTATTATTGTTTGTAGCGACAGTCGCGTATTCAGTTGCGTTTATTACAAACGCGTTTTTATTAATACGCAAGAATTTTATCTTTGTACACTGAGAGAAAAAAAAAGATTGCAATTACCATAATTTAACAGTATATAGTCATTTTTGATACCACTATATTTTTTTAGTAAAATTATAAATATTTATAATTAATGATTATAAAAATGGAGCTCCTAATCATAATCATTTTACTATACAATTATAGTCGCAAATACTAAACTATGTTTCTCTCACAATCAGTGTAAAGAATTAAAATCAAATGTGTAATGCACTCTGAGCATTGCACATATTATCTTCCCTTTGTTTTATTAATTTATACTTCTGACATTTTAATTCGTGAACTTGTTGGCGCTCAATATAAAATAATTTCGTATTTGGACACCTTCAAAAGTTTCAGTAAAAAAAAGAAATATTTTATCCTTTTATAAGAAATTTCACTGCGTACGGGAACATTCTATATAAGAAAACATTTGTCATAGTACCGAGATGAAACGATTCGAAGGCAAGAATGAGACTTTATCGGCGAGTCATCGTGATCGCCATTTCCATCTTACGAGCAAACAACCGAGCGGGCGAAAGAGAGAGAGAGAGAGCATCGGTCGATGAGAATGGGGAAGTGCATTGCATCGTGGCGTCCATTCCGACGCGACGATGGTGAACCGGAAGGTCGCCCCCTTTGATACGAAGGGCGTCTGAAACGTCGGTTCGGCCGCTGCACAGAACGATTTATTGATTAGTACGGCTGGCCAATGGCGCATTGGTCAGTTGCAGGAACGCTCCCCAGATACAACCCCAGCGCGCAAAGAGCCGAGGGGGGTTCGAGTCGGAGGGAGAGGGTTGCAAACCCCATGGCATCGGGGTCCGGGGAGAGATGTTGTAGCTTATCTCATTCTCGGAAATTATGGTGGAACGATGAAGGGCGCCGCGAACGGTCGTGTTCTCTGCTGCCTTCGGCAGCCATTGCCTTTTTTTTGCCCCGTGAGAGGCTAATATTTCCTTTTGATCATACGAAACGGAACGGAATCGGGCGACTTCTGTAAATTAGTTCGCAGGAAAATGTACGAAGTTCGTCGTTTCGGCTTGCCGGTAAATTTCGGTGTCGCGCTCTCATTTATTTGCCGATATTTTTAAAAACTTACATAAAAACACGAGACTCAAAGAGCGGACTGTAGAAAGGAAATTAGCTCGAACGCGATTTTCTCGGGCTAAGAAAAACCGAAAGAATACTTATCGTCAGAATTAAAGATTTTTTTTTCAACGAAGACACGATTACGTGTAACGCACTTTTCTTATCTGTTTCATCAATTTATTTCCGAGCTTTTTTTCAGTTGTCGAATTACGAGAATCGTGACGGCAGCGGCGGCGGCGGCGGCGGCGGCGGCGCTAGCACTTTCGAACGTGAAAGATTAAGCAGTCAAAGGCTTTTAAGCGCACGCGAGGAGGCCGTTATCAATTATTCAAGATCAAGCCACCAATCTTGGATCCCTCTTTCGCCGCCGCCGTCGCGCCTCGTCGCGCGACTTTCTTTCTAAAATCCCTCTCCACGCAGACTCCTCTGATTCATCTCCCGTAGTTACCTACGCCTTAACTCGAGAGCCGCGACATAATTAGGCCCACGGCATCAAGTATTTATTCTTTCATTAGCCTCCTCGCTCGTAGGAAGCTCCAAGAGGGTCGGAGATGAGACGATGTCATCCGAGCGTAACTTGATCAACTTCAAACTTTGCCCGCCCTTTCTCTCTCCTTCCTCTTCCTCCGCCTCTCTCTCTCTCTCTCTCTCTCTCTCTCTCTCTCTCTCTCTCTCTCTCGCTTGTTCGCTCGTTTATTCGCTCTTGTCAGCTGCCGCGATGCAATTACTATTGCAAATTCCACTTTGTGCCTCATAAACTTATCTTTATTATCCGTTATTTATTAATTAAACGCGTTCATTAATATTAAATCGGTACATCGCGTTTTGAGTTAATTAGAACGTTTTAATTGTAAAATAACAACACTACATTTATTTTTATTAAATTTTTGAAAATGTAATTGCGTCTAAGTAATCCGTTTCTACCCGAGAATATTTCCACCGCCACTTTCATTGATTAATTGCCCGCGTCCTCCATCACAGGGTGTGGTTTCGCAGCGCACTGAGAGAAGGGTTAGTTACATTTCTCGACATCCTGATTGGAGAATGGTAACTTTGACTGAAATGGGGAACGGAGACTTCATCTGCATAGCAAATGATGCCAAGAATAGTTACATTCATCAGACAAAGTGGCTCAGCAAGCGCTCAGTGTTTCTTTATTACAATTGGTTTCTACAGTCAAAGCCAGCAAATTTAGAACTAAAGGTATAAGAACCAGTCATATTAAAGAATCACTGACAAACTGGGTTTGTCTATTAAACGCAGCCATCGCATATATCGTAACGAAATATTTAATATTTTTTTTATTTTCCAACACGTGTCCACGGTACCTTTAGCGAGGCAAAAAGAGAAGCTCACGAGAGAAGAAAAAATTAATCCGCAATAGCACGCGTCCACTGCTAGCATAGTATTATAGGCATAAGATGCTCGTCGGAGCGTGGTCCAGACTACATCTGCCGCTCCGATATCCCTCCGCCCTTTCAACGAAAAAACGGAATCGCGGCTAAGTCGATTTAAATTATTCAACCAAATTTTTTTCATGTCACCTTTTACTTCTATCTCGCTTTCATCTCTTAGCACAACTATAATCGTTTTCGGTGCACGTGCCGAGAACATCGCTACGGTCATTTTTATCGTCATTCAGGTGGTACATCTCCAACGAATTTCTTTTTTTTTTGTCATTCAATGGAACACACTTTGTGGCATGTTCCACAAAGTTTTATCTCCGGCCGATATGATTAAGATTCGATAAGTTTTAATTTCGACCGGTATAACAATTTTGCAAATAAAGAAATAAAATTGCTAATTATTGTACGATGCTGCGATACCACAACAATATTAATATTTATCATGCTTGAGATAATGTGAATTTATGCGTATCTTTTATATATAATAATGCACGGACGACGCGTACAGTGCCAGAAGATATATTCGTATTAGGGCGGACCTCTTGTAAAACTTTTGCCGGATTCAAAGGAAATGTCAGTACGCGCATAAATCAAATTAACTATGTAAAAGTCCACATTTGGGTCCATTCGGTGACAGTTATTAAAAAGAATGAACCCCTTGAACAGATGCTCTTCCTACCACCGTGGAAATCATGCCGCGACCGTTTTGATTTATACATCGGCCGCATGGGTGGGCCCTCGGAGTTTTCGGTAGCGGAAAGGAAAACTCTTTAATAGTTTCACGCGTGCGCCAGGCCCCATTATCGGGACACGGTTAGGCTCCGACAGACAGAGAGAGATAGAAGGAGTCGCCGCCTTGGATCTCCAAAGAACGGAATATGCCTCCGAAAAGTTCATTAAAAACGATTTCACGTCACCCGAAAGATCATTTACGATAATTAGTTTCGTATACAGTCTTTGCAGTTTCCTTGACACGATTAAAGTACAACGACACTCGATTTAGGACTTTTATACCGTCGTATTTCATACCGACGACCGAAATAATCTACCCCAATTAGAAATGGTAACTCAAATCGACATCAAATCGATATTAAATCGACGCCGATAAGTCAATAAATAGTCAACGTCAAATATTATATGGTAGTTGATATTTTTGTCACCTGTCACCTTTGACCTCATTATATGTGTTTTTTCAGTTGTTAATTCAGCAATTGCGAATATTTCTATAAGATTTCTATTGTCTTTCAGCAAATTCTACATGGAATCGATGCCAAATCGGAAAGTATATATGCACATATATACTGTGTATTTGATATATTAAAATTAACCGGAAAAAAAAGGAATCTATATACCTATACATATTTGCGATTAATCAATTAACATAAGAACAATTATGATAAAGTCGAAAATGACAAAAATATCAAACACAATATTTGACATTGATCTTTTATCGACACATTAATGTGTCGATAAAATAAATCGAATCGACATCAATTCGATTTATCATTTCTGGCTGGGAGGAAGACTTCTATGTATATAAAATTCTTCGAGGATGTAAAAAAGGCGCGCGTGCCTGGATCTGGCTGTTCCTACAGCACAATTTTACTCACACGCAATTTCGTTCGTATACGTATAAATTGCCGATGGAGAAATAATTTGTATATCGAAATAGGCGAACACGAGAGTGGCTTTATACGTCGTCGCAGGATACGCGGATCCAGTACGGAGTCAGTTGCTCGTGATAAACTACCGGCACAAGGATCGAAGCTATAACGCTCTCGTAAACATCCACCCACCCCCTGCCGTCTTCACCACCGACGATGATATCGTCTCTTCCTTTTCACGGCACTTACACCGCGACACGGCTGACAGCAACAGGCGGCACATGTCTCTTTTATCCTCTTTCACCTCCGATCGTGATATACTTACTCAGCTTTTACTGGTTTCCCCAGCTCTCTCTCTCTCGGTCGCGAGGCGTTCGTGAAATGGCGCGTGCGGACACGTTTTTATGCACGTAATTCACGATCCTGGAGCTTGTTAGTCTCAGACGCGGAGATGAGCTATTGCTAATATTTAATCTCTGCAGTATCTCGTAATGCGATGATCTGCAAGCTGCAACACGGTCGTCTCTGCAATGAGAAAATGCACAAGCTGACTGTAATTAATTCTGTAATTGCCGACGGAATCTTGAAATCACTTTGTATTTAACCTGTTTAATATATACAGCTATGGTTAAACTTGCAGGATCAAACATAAAGTTTTCCGCTCAAGCTGAACCTGTTTGCAATGCCGAGCCGTTACCTAAAGCGCATGTGAAACAAGCCATGAAATTTAATTAATTAAATGCTCCACGTGTAACGTCTCTGCCAAATTAATTACCGGAGCACGTGGATTTATTATCCCGCTGCCCGAAAGCAGCTGCGTCTCGCGATCGCGCCCAAGTAAATTGAGGACTCGCGTAATTATACGTTTCGCCGAGGAGAAGATGATGAGAGAGCGCATCGCGAGATATTCCCGACGTCTCGGGCGATGATAGCAGCCCAGGCTGCAAGAACTCAATCGCTTTTACGAACGTAACGTATCACTTTACCCCTTTAGCATTTTGATAATTGAGGAGCATCGCATACTACTGACTTACATAAAAAAAAAATTACAGATTATATAGGTGAATAGCGAGTTTCGCTATTGCGAAGCAAGTCTCGCTGACTCGACACGATTTAACGTTTGCGGAGTATCGCGTCGTGTAAATCAACATATGCGTGCCCCTTTTTTTCCCACCCGTACCCGTCGCATTCGAATCCCCCGCTCGTATTATGCAGAAAACCTCATTGTTGCCTCGCTCAATGGCGAGCAGGGTGGATTCTGGATATATTCTCGTTTTACATAATTCCGTCGTGGTCATCGGGTATGGCAGGTTCCCGGCGAGATCCAGTTGCTGAAGAAAAATATAGAAATCGAAGAATTGATAAAATAATACCGTAGCGATTATCGTGACGATAAAAATAATTTTTGACAACTGATGTGGTTTAACGCTGCTATTTGTAACAACGCTAAGTGTGTTATATTATTGACGTGACTACATGTCCCACTTTCGAAGCGATCGTTTCGCTGTCTCGCTAAACATAATCAAAATGTGAATAAGTATGTTACTTTTTTTTAAGTAAATCGCTATAAATATTACTTTTATCTTTATACATCCATACATTGTTTCTTCTTCCCACCCCTCGTCAATATAAAAGTTGTTCCGCTTTGGATCCAAAAATATCTGGTCAGTCATTAATTATAATGCACACGGACATAACATCGTTAAATAAAATTTATCTTGGCGATTACTAATTAAAGTTATAAAACAACAGAGGTAAATATAGTGAAGCCTCATAATATTCGCTCATATCAAAAGATAAATTAAGTCTCCCCAATTTCGGACGTTACCGAATCTTGTTTGTCCTAACATTTCCCAGAGCCTTCCGCCGGCATCGCGGCCGCCCTTCCGGTGTTCCTCCACTCGTTAGGGTCACTCTCGAAGCTTATAGATTTCCCGTCTCGAAGGACGCGGGGGCGAGCTCTCGAGAAGGCAAATACGACGGATGATCGAGAGGTCCGCCGACGCGATGGAAGACAGATGCGATTCGAGAGAGTGGCCCTCTGCGCGCAGCATCCTTCGACCGCGCAACTTCGTCGCTTCCGTCTTTCCGATTTTTCCCTCCTCCCCCGTTCGACCGACGCGCCGCCACCCACCGTTGCTTCTGTGCACGAGAAGCGTCTAATGTGAGAAACCTGTAATGTGTTTACTGACGGGGACGGTAATAAAAATATGACATCGCGAAATGTGATGGAATACGGCTGTGATAGCGACCTGGCGAGATCATTGATTTTTCCCCCCCTGCTTCGACGCACGACGGTGAATTCAAGGAGATTGAAAAACTGATTGAGGATGAAATAACCTACGTAAATGAGTTGTAGATTATTAATAGTTACGATTTCCTTTAAATTACATTTTTTAATCCTAATTGATTTATTACGTTTATTAATCCTAATTAGTATTCGCGAATCTATAAGTAGCCTCGTACATTTTAAGTATACTTTTTTTAAAAGATGTGAAAATTATAACAAATGTTTTTTTCACAATTTTACATAATTTAAGTTACATAATTTTATTCCTCGAATTTTAACCTTAAAATAAAAAAAATCATTTAATTACTCTTTCAAGCGAAGATACTAATTTATAGTATATAAAGTACACTGGACTCGCGAATATCAATTAAGGAAATTCGGAGCAAATATCAGTTATAGGTATCTTTACGTATCTTAAAGTTCACGATCTCCGCGATATACTAGCCTGTCGTTCTCGAAATGTAACTTAATATAAATTTAATCGCGCACGTCCCCTGACGAGCGATAGAAAATTTCCCACTTGGTTTACCCTCGCGCGATCGCGCTCACACATTCACCCGGCCGCTATCACGTGCTTTTGTGCTCTCGTTCTGGCGAGAGTTTCTTACGCGTCCGGCAGATCTGTGTTAACGAGAACGTCATAGGGGCGCCGTGAAACGAAATCGTCCAAGAAATATCGCAGATCCTTTGAAGCCGCTGACAATCCGGTGCAAAACTCTCGAAAGGTCGATCGATCTTGGTTCCGGGACATTAAGACGTCCCGTAATAATAGAATATGCCTTTGACACCCGTGCGCGAGCTGTCGCTCTTTTAGAAAAATTATTTCCTCATTTAACTGCAGGCAGCACAAAGTGCGACGAAGTTAAGGGCGTAGCTAGAGACCCTACACCCTTTCCCGCAGCGCGCCTTTCGAACGTTCGCGCGTTCACCACGGCGACACGATCGAATGTCCAGTGAAAATTGAGAGAAACCAGATTTCGGGACGAGCGCACGTACGACCGGAAGACGTGGGACAATGGCTGGACCGGCAGTTGGTCTTTGTTACGTAGAACTGGAATAGGACCAGAGGCGTTAACACGATTCCCGAACAGAGGGTCATCGAACCGGTGTGTCGCATGGAGTCGGCCGCTAAACGCTTACCACGCCTCTAAATCCTTCAGCTCCCTTTGCTGGCGGCGTGTCCTGCGAAACGTCACGCAAAGCAAGCTCCTCTCCTTTGAACCGCCCTAAATAATTGCGACTTGCGGCATTAGAGTCAAAATTATAAGTGACGATTGGTTGGGGTTTTTGGAAAACGTCTTCAGACAACTTCAGGAAACGCAGACGCCAGTTAAAGATGTACTACACACAGATGTATATACTACATACATATTCAAAATTATGAAAAAAGATTATTTTAGATCATTTAAAAATAACACAAAATATTTAGCGGCGATTTAGAATCTGAATACATAATTATTTCGAAATAGATAAAAAGTAGAAGTGTTTTTATTTATGTTCCAATGGAAATGTATATTAAGAAATAATGACAAAAATCTCAATTTTTTTTATATAAGTACTTTAAGTATTTCAAGTATTATAAAAATGAATTTCATGTCAAAGACACACGAAAAAGCCTATCTGATGCTTGCATACGGGCGAACTTGAAGTATACAAAAAGTGAAGTGTCACAAAATGTAGAATGTACGTGTATACAGCTGATTGGACTCAAATAAAATTAATTGTATTATTTACGAGAAGATATCATTTGTGACGGCCTAATCCTCGTGAGAGCACTTTTACGTAAGTGTAAGGTTTAAACACCCGCATATGCCGTCTCTTGCTTTCTCGTCTTCTCCTTTGTATAACAGCATTGCTCCACGGAGAAATGTCTTCATCACATATTTACGCGATATATATCATAGATTGTGCAGTTTGCCGCGAGCTGCTTTTATCGATCCACATTTATGAGTTTAAGATCAAGAAATAAATCGATTCGTATATACGATAGTTACTTTTTTTATTTCGGCCAGTGACATTCCGAATGTCGAGGTCTGTCAGGTGCAGCGTTTCGATCGCTCACGCAGTTCCGCCACCCCTTTCATGCCCTCGTCTCTCTATCGACATATTGTGGGAATCGCTACGTTTACATAATTTTTCCCAGGGCTTTGGCGAGCGTTGGAGAAATCGCAACACTTGCCCAATCTGCCGGCGTCATGGGCGTGCTGGGAAGGTAAGAAGGGACCTTCCTCCGTGAAAAACCTTCCTCGTTCTCGTCCTTCAAAGGTCGAACCAGTAAAATCGTTCGTCTTTGTATGGAAATAAGAATGTCCCTCCCCTGGCTCCTGCACCCGTAGTGCACACCCACGTGCGCGCACGCACGCACGCACGCACGCACGCACGCACGCCGCACGCACGCACGCACGCACGCACGGACGCACGCACGAACGTACGCGCACGACGAAGCGCGATCGAAATTCGTGCGTGAAAACTTCAAAAGGCAGTCATGCGAGAGGAAGACGGAAATAGGGTGAATAGGAGCGAAGCCGCAGGTACAATTGGAATCGGGCGCGGGCGAAAATATTTTTTTTCTATCGGAAGGAAGGGACGCGACGTCATGATCGGTACCCACATATCGTCATAAAGTTCAAAGTAGCATTGTCGAAGTGTCTTCTGTGTAAATCAATAATACGTACAAGGCAAAAATGTTTTAGGTTACAAAAATTGAAGTACGATTGTTAATTGATTGACGCAAGCTGTAATTGTTGGTGCAACGTAGATTCCATGTTTTTTTTTAAATAAAATATATAACGTTTGCAGAACAAAACGCGATACCGACGGCCATAGCCATGTCAGTTATGGCGTCAATAAAAAAAGAACGAAATGTCCGCAGGGGAAGATCCTCCCGACTACGGGATCCAATCTCATTAACCCTTCACCGAGAGGAATTCGGAAAGGGGTTGGAATCGCTAACCCTTCCCCGTCGCCATAGTAACGGACCCTACTTTTACCTCCTTACAACAGTGTCCAATGGCAACAGCCTTTTTACTTGTTACTCAGAATACCGTTGCAGGACGTATCACGTCGACGATAATTCGATAACTTTTACATGAAATTGTACAGGCGTTACTGATGTAAAAACAATTATGTGACACAAAAGACACATACAAATAAATAGAACTTTAAATTTCTCCAGAATACCAAAAACGTAGCATTGACGTCGCAAAAGGAACTTTCTATTTATCTTGAGAAAGTGAACCTTTTAGCGTAAACTATAACTAATTAAATTACGTCTACTTTTCGAAATTTATTCCGCCTCTGTTTAACATGAAAGTAGCATGATAGAATCATGGCATACCCACTGTAAAGAGATACGAAAATTATTTTTAAAACAATCAATAAGTGTGCAAAAATATTTTCTATATTTTTTATCTTACAATTAGTAGGAGTGAATTATGTTTTATCAAATATGTTGTTTTCTTTCCAATCCCTCTACTATTTTCGCAATTTTAAGCTATGCTGTCACGGTCATTAGGAATCATTAGGAAGCAAAAAATCGTTTCGTACTTTCCGTATTCGAAAAAGAGAATTAGTTTTCCGACGGAAGACAAATCGTTTTTGAAATTTCATTAGTCTTATTTCGCGCGCAAGCATTTCGAAAACTCATCATCTTTGCTTTCTCTGTGGTCTCATAAAGCATCCATCATTTGGCATCTACCTGCGTAGAGGCTACGACTGCAGACAAACACATTCGAGAAAAACTCTCTTTTCCATCGCGCGTTTTCCTTATACACGGTCATACACATCTTTCTTATATATAGACGAATATTTAGCGTCGTTTTGGTATCAAAGATTTCATCGCGCGACACTCGTCGAAATGTATTAAAAGCACAATGTATCTACGCGCGTTAAATAAATAACGTAATATAATCTGATAGAAAACGAAGATGGTTGTAGATGAGCTGTCACAACAGATTGAGGTTCGAAAGGATTCGGGCCTCGCGGTCCGATTCTTCGTTTCGGAAATATTTAAGTGGATCTCCGATGTTTTGAGAGATAGCATAGAGTCGGCGCCGGGACGGACGGCAGATTGGTGCCGCGATGCTCTTACACCAGCAAAAAGGGTTCGTCGTTAATCTTCGAACATATAGCCGATCTTTCGAACGATGGACAAAGGCACAATGGTAATAGTAGCGAAAGTTGAGACGAAAAGTTTGCATCGATAATATTCGATTGCTATAAAAGTGAGATTTGCAAGTGCTTCTTTGTAAAAATAATTTACTTAAATATATCTATTGTATTTTTACTGCAATGTATTATTATACTTTATTATTATATTAGAAAACTGATTATCATATGAAAAAGTATTACATTATATTATATAAATATGTATAAAGAAAAGACAGGTACGCACTTAATAAACTTTTGCTTGCAACACAAATTTATTCAAAGAAAAACATAATTTTTTTACATATAAAGCAAATCAGGTATCTTAAGAATATCACGATAGCAGATTATTATATGTAAATACTAATATAAAAAATTTATATTAAGAAAAGTATAATATAAAAATCTGCAAATGCTTATTCTTTTATCTCGATAAAACGTTTAAGCGCCTGAGGCGTCTAACTAATAATAAAATGATAACTTCTCCCTTGACTATGAAATATATAAAGGGAATAAAAGATTATAACAATAATTAATAAAATACTAATTCACATGAGTTCTTAGACATAATCAAACAATGCATTAAATTTCTTACAGTTTAATACGTACTTATAGAGTTTTCATAATACTGATGCCAAATTGTTATTAATTACACTGTAAAACACCATTTTGCATCACGTGTATAAATAATCATTTCTGACGTATTTTTGCCTGCTGAACATAAATCTGTTGACTATGACGTCACAATTTCGAGGAAAAATACGTCAAAAGGGCCGAAAACGACAATTTTACTTTTCTGAAAAGTGTAACGTGATAACCAACTTCTGTCAACGGATTCGTGTTCACCAGGCAAAAAACGTCGGAAATGGCTGCTTACATTCGACTATTCACACTCGTGATGTAAAAAAAAGATCAAATTTTGTTCCACAATTATTGTTATATAATTGAGATGTTAATCGATGCGTATTCTTAGCCGCCCTTAATCGACGCATGTTAACACATCTGAATAGTAAGTCTTTTATTTATACATTTTGTCTTCAATTTAAGTGAAAACGCGTTTCTCTAATCTTTCCTTCTTAAAACTTGCGACAGCAGTAGATTTGTGCTAAATCGAGATTTCTTTCTATGAACATTTCTTTTACATTACAACAAATAAATCCATCTAAAAACCAGTACAACAATTCCTCGCGGATAAAATTGTTGTATTGCTAATTAAAGTAGCAAAATTCGTTTTATTAATCAGTTTCCATTATTACTTCTTTTATTTATCATTATGTTTAGGAAATCTATTTTTCGACATACTCGATTCCACAGAGCATTAATTTCAATGCAGCTGCCGTGACAAAACCGATGAAATATTCATCGACGAGTAATGCGAATTCGTAGTAATCGAGTTTGTTCGCAGTGAAAACAGAGAGAAAGAGAAAGAGAGAGAGAGAGAAAATTAACGAGAATGCGAAAACAAATTAGGCAAATGCACTCTCTGTAGATTCTAATTATTGTTTGTTCTCCCATCCTTCAAATCACCGACATCTTCCGCGACCCATCGTAGTCAAATCGAATTGACTTTTCCACCCAGTCTTTATTCATTCATTTCGTCTTTAATTTGAGTGAAAACGCGTTTCTCTAATCTTTTCTTCTTAAAACGCGACAGCGTACAGCAGTAGATTTATGCTAAACTGAGATTTCTTTCCATAAACGTTTTTTTTTTACATTACAGCAAATAAATCCACCTAAAAACCAGTACAACAATCCCATCCTCTCGCGGATGCTAATTAAAGTTCGAGGGTGCGTTAGATGATACGGTAGGAGCAGAAGGAACTCATTGGCATTCGAGACGTAGAGCCGCATAAAAAATAGCTTCTCTCCCGAAACGCAACTTGGATTTCTCGGAAGGTACAGGGATGAGGTAAAAAGGGTGTCGCGCAGGAGAGCGGGGGGAGGGGAACGGCTGTGGGAGGAAGCCGCAGGGTAGCGAGAGAGAAAAAAAGAGAGGAAGTCCGACCACCCCTTGGAAGACAGAGCCGCTGCCGGCGTCGCCGCCGCCGCCGCCGCACTCGGGGCGCTAGAGGGATGATGAATATAAAGGCAGGGCAAGCAGTTAGGGTAGATTCAACCCTCTCGGCTCGTGAGCCTCACGGGCCAAGAAGAAGCTCAGATCAATACTTTTTATGCGAGAAGCCACGGGGACGCGACCGGGAGGGGGGGGGGTTGAACGCGGGAAGGAAGAAGGGCGAAAGAGAGTCGGTTCGGATGAATACGGGGTTGACACGGCAAGGTGGAGCAGTCTCTCCCGGCTCGCTCTCTTCCACCCCTTCCTTCACCGCCACCCCTCTCTGTACCTTCTTCTCTCTACCTTCCGTCTTTCTCCACGTCTCTCTCTCTCTCTCTCTCTCTCTCTCTCCCCCTCTCCCTCTCTTGCGCTCTCTGCTCTGTCTCTCTTTCTACCGCCGTAATCAGGAATATCATTAAACTCTCGGCTTCTTCCTTCGCAACAATCTTCTCCTTTCTTCCGCGCCTTCCTTCTCGCCATCCCCTGCCCTCCCCCGACGCCCCCTGACAAGCTCCTCGTTACTCCTCGGCGCGCGTGGGAGGAAGAGTCGAGAGCGCGATCTTAACGATCCCTCGAAGGAAGTCCGCGTTGCATATCCCGGCTCTCGAGATATATTTAACATTGTCGACGTGACCTTCGCACAAATTGCTAATTGCTTAGGGATACTTTGTGGCACGGCAAAAAAATTTGTGGAATACATTCTTATACGCGGTCTGCGGCCGCGTAAAAAAAAAAATTGCCCTGTAAACTTTGCCCGATATATTTTCTCGTCTGTATTTGTGACCACAACGGTAACTTCTCATAGTAGTTCCTGGTGACGCGATAACAAGGTAAAGCGGAGTCTCTTTTTTTAACGAAATTCACGTCTGTTATACTCGAGGATATCCCGCCTTTGGTTCTCACCCCCATGGGGAGACGGTGTTTGGCAAAACAAGGAATACGGATATACAGACCAATTCCGTGACCAAAAACTAGAGCAATGCCGTAAATTTTCCGAGCGTGATTTAGGGGATCCTGACGGCGTAGGTTGGATACAGATTTCGAGCGTGCAATTTCGTGCAAGGACTTTCTCTCCCCGCCGGCGAATGACAGAACCCTTAACGCGTCCAGGCCATAAATCTACAAGTTACATAAAACTAGAGTAGAATCTTCAACAGTTTTATGCAATATACACCGGCATTGCGATCCGAGGACACGAGACCCTATGTTTTAGATCATGTCTTCCTACAGATGGATTGCGTCACGGCGGCATTTATTTCTATGTTCTGAAAAAATATATATCTTAAAATGTCAGATATAAATGCCATTATTTTTATTTGACAACGCTTTCATTCTTGACCAACAGGAAATGCAGAGCGACGAATTATTGTTAAAATTAACCTTGGATGTGATACTTAAAGCAGGTAACAAAAAGAATGATTAACTGCTAGTAATTAAATTCTATTTGTAGCATTCCTTCAATTTTTATTTCATTTTTTGAAAGGATATAGTTATTTCATATATTCATTAAAAAAAAAAAAAGAAAACATTTAGTTGATTCGCGGTAAATGCTTTGAAAGTCTCGACATGTGTGTATTTCATAATCGCTTTCTTATAAAAAAAGGGGGGGAGGGGACCAGTCACGGCGGTCAAGTCTGTTGGATGTGTGCGCGGACTGCTAAAAAGAAATGAAAGCTCCGCTCCGTAACTCCGCGGCGGACGCCGTACGTAATCCACTCGTATACGTAGCGAAACTCGAGAGGGTGTTTCATCCTCGTTTCTTCGTCATGCGCGACGGTTACTCCGGCGGTGCTCGAGCGGAAAGAGATATACACGAGCGCGAGGCGCACGAAGACCTCCGCGCACACACAGGCACGAGGAGGCACCGCGTCGTCGCTCGCCAGCCACCCTCGCGCGCGTCTGAGGGTGCGTGTTTACACACGCACACGGGAACGCGCGCGTATATGTAGGTGCCCCGGAGATTCTGCAATATGTTATTGTTCGGCTCGAGCGGAGAGTATCTTAGAGGCCGCTTCTACCCCTCAACCATTGTCGTGGTCCTTACAGATATTGACAACCCGCAGGAGAAATTGGCGGGATATCTGGAATCTCGGATCTTTCCGGGATACGCATCTGCTCTCGAGAGTCGCCCCCTTCCCTCCCTCCTCCCCTCCCACCCGCTCCCCGCAAGAACGGAGTCGGATTAAATTCGTTTCTCGTTTCCTCGAGTCTCGTGATTTCATGCAGGATCGAGCATCGTGACTTTCGCGCCGCGCAGAAAGCGCTGTCTCGTGTTGTCTCGTCGAATCGTATCGCCCGGTGTATTCCATTCGCCATGTCAACAAGCCAAAAATATATCTTAGACTCTTAGAAAATTTTATGTATTTAAATGAGATTAATTCCTAAGCACGATAAAATGAAAAAAAAACGGTGAATGGTCTGTCTCGAGTTGAATAAACGCGTAGGAATCTCGTAAGGGGGATGGCTTCCGCGCGAAACGGACAGAATAGGTATATTATTTTCGCCTGAGTTGCTCTCCTCTCCGATAAATGGTTTTTGAAAGATGTGGCAATTCAGTGAAAGGTTTCACGAAAAAGAGGAATTGAAAAAATGAATTTTACACAATTTGATGCTACGTAAGGATTCTCGAATGTTCAGGAGTACGAAATACATAGGAGAATACAATAATCTACAAATAACAAATTTTCCATTCCAAAAGAAGATAATATTATGAAATAAGAATTATACTTATAATATTAACGATACATTATTTAATCCAAAAATCTTATAAAATATATGGCAATAACAATACAATTATATTTATTATACTTTTGAAAAGAATTACTTTTCATATTATAATATACTATAACTATAAAATTATTCTTAATACATAAGATTTTTACATTTTAATTCTATGTAAACCCGATTAAAATATAACATATATAATAATAACAAATAAAATAATTAAAGTTAATCTGGCTATTTTTTGTAAAAAACATCAAATAATTACGATTTCTTACTACAATAAACGCAACGATCAAACGCTCATTTATTACGAGCTTGCAGAGTTAAAAATTTCAGAGACATCGATGCAAAATAGTAAAGTTCTCTATTTATCAATACATGATTAACCTTTTTATGTTTTTTTATCTACATAATTTACTCTTTTATTTCGCTCTTTTTGTCTGTAGACAAAAGCATGAAATTTTCGTTGAAAACGTTTTGAAGAGATCCGACTAATCGGGCCTAACTTTTTGCATGCGAAGAGCCACGTCGATCCAAATCGAAAACAATGTATGTGCTTCGAATGAAAACTGACGGAGTGATTCACGGGATGATCTCGACCGAGTCTGAAGTATTAGCGGAATGGCGCCATACGCCATTTCTAACTTTCGTACTAATCCGTTGATTGGTTTCCATCAGACTGGCTACCTGTCGACAACCGGCGCTGTGCACGAATTAACGTACAAGTCATTGACAGTAGACGTTTCAATATGAGATATATACCTGAAAGATTCTCGACCTCATTGGCGAATGAAATATAATTGTCGATTTACTACGACCCTTTCGAGTGATTCTTACCCTAGCTTCTTCTTTTCTCCTTTCTTTTTCGGAGATTGAATCGCATCTCTCATGGATGGACGTGTATTCTAATCATTTTCGAAGTTTCTCTTCCGTGTGAATAGTCGCCATCCAAGGAACACGTCAATCTTTACGCAAGATCTGCGAATATGTTCAGACTAATGTAATTTATATCGGCTAATTAAACTCGAAACAATGATCGAAACAATAATGAAGCGTGGCAACCATTCTATTCCTAAAAAACAATATTAGCAGTATTTCTAACGAACATTTCCCATAAAATTCTTCATATAATTTTTCAGAAATTCTATAGAAATTTCAGAATTTTTCAAAATTTCTGGATATAATTTTATATAGAAAATGTTAAGTTTTGTTTATACAAATTGAAGCATTTTTCAGAAATGCTGAAAAAATCTTTTCTAGAATAATTATACATATAAAATCTAAAATATTCTAAGATTTCTCATTTTATAATATCCAAAGAATACCTGAAAATTTGAAGAAGTTAAAAGTATTTTTTCAGAAATCTTTATAAATTTCAAATATATAACAGTTTTTTCTTAAACATGTTATGGAACGTTGCGTGAATTTTTTTCATCAGAGGTACGATAGACAATTTAATTTTAAAAAACTTGATTTTTCCTAAAAGATGTGCGCTATTAAACAAACAAAATAAATATGCGACAGAATAACATTGATTATTTGTAATCCCTCCGTTAAATGAATTTGATGATCATATTACGCGCGTTACGACATTAGCGTCCCGGTGTCTTCTTTTCCAACGGCGAAGTCAAGTAATCCTTCATTGCGATTCAACGAATCGGGCGATTCGTGAGCTGAAGAGAAGTCTCAAGCAAACCTCTTCGTGGAAAAAGAAAACACGATGAATCGGGCGCACGTGAATCCCAGCCACGCGCCACAATGCCCACATCTCTCGCGCCGCGAAGAGTCTCGAGGCGCGCACTTTTTATTTATTCCGTCCCGTCACGCACGTCGCTCACTCGATCTGCGCGCACCCACACGACTCCCTTGGAGCCAGCTGCATCGCGTATTGTCGAAATCTTTCGAAATCTCTATGCGTCACGATTTCTCCCTCGCGTAGCTTCGAGAGATATCGTCACACTTGAGAAAGGTATACGCTCCTCGATGACGAATCGACGAATTTTCAAGAGCCGCGAATTCGTCGCAGACGAATGAATAATTTGATCGAATTCATTGATCGAAAAAGTGTACATATAAATATAAATAGAATAATTAGATAAATAAATAAACGAAGGAAAAGTGTTTGGTGTTTGTAATTATATAAATTGAATGGTAAAATAACTATAATATGATTATATGATAAGAATTCCACTTTTACAATTATTAATATTATTAATATTATTATTGCTATAATGTTAGTAATAATTATTAAATTTATAGTACTAGCAAAAAATATAGTTGAGACCAAAAAAATAATCTACGTTATAGTTAAATGAGGATAACTTTTTTCTCTCAGCATAGATGACTGTTTATTTATTTCTTAACTGTAACTGTCTTCAATCTGTAATTGCCATAAATAATCAGAAATATAAATTCAATACAAATTAAAATGATGAAATAAACAAAGATATAGATGCCTTTGTCCATCTTCTTTTAATCTATAACCTTTATTGACGAAATTGGTCGATCTGCTACTGCCTATACGAGACTAATTCTTTATTCGATTCCACACCTTCGGTGGCGATAGTTTTTAAGCGCAGAACTGCCCACGAGGGTGGAAACGAGGGTCAGTTATATTCCACATCGCGGGGTGCCGCGGGCGCCATATGTCGGCCAACGTTAAGTTCGGCCCCCGTTAAGCTTCGCGAATGACTCCACGGTTTTCCGCCCGACTCGCGAAACCGCCTTATAATAACGCCTCGAGACGGTGGCCACCGAAGTAACATCCATCATTTCCGCCGAGAGTTATTAGGCCGCAGCGTCCAGCGGGTGAGCGCCGCGTAAAGACTATGGTGTGGAAAGGGCGGTGGTGGCGCTCTCCCTCCCTTTATCTTTCTCTCTCTCTCTCTCTCTCTCTCTCTCTCTCTCTCTCTCTCTCTCTCTCTCTCTCTTTCTCCCTTCGGTTCTTTTCCCTCGATGGTTAACGATGCGTTTTATGCCGGCGTTAAAGCACTCGTCGCAAAAACCGCCGTTGCCTTCGTTTCATCGAACACCGCCACCATAACGCACGCGGGAGGAGTGAGCCAGAAACAAGCCGTAATGATCTCAGAAATGATTTACAGTTCTCTCTCATCGCCCACCCCCTCGCCTACCTTTTCTTCTTCTTTTTTCACGCGCCGGCATTCCGACTAGTCACGTGGCGATCTTTTTCGCTATTGTCTCTATATCTCTTTGCCGACTGCCGAGCATAGAGCTCGAAGACAAGCGGAATTAATCTGAAGGGGGGGAGGGAGAGGGGGATGGGTGGCGGAAGAGGAGACAGGTAAAAGCGAGCCTTCGTTTGCCAATGCGGAAACCACCGTGGTGGTCTATGATGACTATTTTCCTTTTGAGAATCCTATTCTCTACTTCATATAGATCGTGCTACTGAAGTTTATAGCTAATAGTATCTCGCATCTCTAAAAAAAAATCACTGCTTCCATTCGCCCGCAGACAAAAAAAAAATTGAAACGAAGGAACACGGAGGAACGCAGTCACGCTCTTTATGATGTAAACTTAATTCGTTGTTGAACTTTTTGGCGAAGCCGTCGACTTCCTTGAAGATTGGAGACGGGGAGAGGGAGGACGCGGGCAGGTGAGTTATCCGGGCGATCGCGATCCTTCGGAGCGTGTATAAAAGGGATACGCCGGCTGCTGTTACGTGGAGCTACGTTCGAGGGAGGGTACAAAAGTTCCAATATATCAAGTGCAATTCTTTCGTTCCCGCGAGAAGGAACGAGGAGGGCACCGGGGCTGCGGCCCGGATGAGCGTGCCTCGAGGGGGTGGCGTGCAACAATGACAACCCCTCCTGATGCACATCAATATCCTCGCCTCGGATGCCACATATTTCGTTCGATACAAATGACACCTTCTCGAAAAAACCAATACCTGCCTCGCCGCCGCGATCCTTCGTCTCGTCCTGTGACCCGATCGTCTCAGGAGCCCCGGCCGTTTTGTTAAAGGCAGACCCGAAATAATACCCTTCCCTTAACAGGGGTCACCATCTTCTGTGACCTCTGAAGTCAGGAGAAACATTAACGCGTAAATTATTAATGCGTAATATATTAATTAAATTAATTAATATCATATAATGTAGAATTTTGTTGAAACACTTTATATGACTTCAATGTCGGTGTGGATAAACGAAACATCCATGGGCGTCCGCAATGGGAGGGGGTGGCAAGGAGAGGCATTTGCCATCCCTCCCTGAAATCAAACGAGTATAAGAAAAATTCAGAATTTGCTTTCTTATTTTTACAAATAATAAATATATTTGTTAAATGTGAGAGAGCTAAAATACAATATAGGTATACAACGTTTGGACATTTGCTCCTCGCGGTAGTTCGTATTAAAAATTTGAATCATGCCCCCCCCCTCTAGAAAAAATCTTGCGGACGTCTTTGGAAACATCTTTGCCGATAATTGTTTGGTCTACGAGAAGAAATGTTTAAAAATGGCATCGTGCGCTAAACAACACCATCTTCGCTGTTTCGCTCTAATCCGGAAAGACGTCATACGTCGGCCGTAGTTTTGGATTCCCGAGCGTTCCTGGACGGTCGTAAAAGTGTTACGAGTGTGGCTGTCAGCGGCGCTATAATTGAAGATTAATCGTTGGCGTGGGTGTCAGAGCTCATCGCCAAAGTAAAAAAAATGCATTGAAAGGAAAAGGCACGTTGCTGGTAGGGCGGACAGGTCGCCGAGCCTCGGCACCGTTTTCGCCTTTGTGCCGGGGACAATTACTCACAGATTAGAACGAGAATTTGCGAGGCGAAGGCAAAAGGGGGACAATCTCGCTCACTTGATCTTTACATTTACGACAGGAGCCACCGGCCATTCAACCTCTCGGTGAAATATCATCGCCTTAGCGCGAAAAATCGTAAGATCGGGTCTTTCGAGGCGAAGGGGGGCTCCGATTGTGCGTTTCCATATGACACGCTACGACTCTTGTGAAAAGACTATCTGGAAATTGATATCCGTAAGGTGATAAGTTACTTAGCTTCAACGTGTGGTGATAAACATGTACATGACCTACTTTACTGCATTAAGAAAGAATAGGCTTATTAAATTTATATTTAAATGTAAGCTAAATCAGGCCAACCTGTTTATCGCGACGATTTTTACACAATATTTATTTTTCATATTCATCGATTGTAAAGAATGCTCTTGATTCGTGACTACAAGGCTGGTCGAAGAGGCGTAACCGCATTAAAAGAACTAATTGAAACAAATTAATTGAACAAACTAATTGAATTAGCATTTAAAGTTAAATTTAATTTAATTTCTTCGCAGTATTTTAAGATGCTTAGTCGCATCGAATTATTAAGGCATAAAGATCAATTGTGATCTCACTATTTCAACTTCAGCTAATGATTGCATTGCAAGTCCAACATTGATTCGGTGCGCAATTTAAATTGCTGAACAATAGATTTAAAAATTAATATAAAATTTATTAGGTACCAAGATACAGTCGTGACTGTAGAAGCTCTCAAATTTATTTGTTGTATTCACTCACGCGTTCAGTCCAGTTTAAATTACTTATTATATAATTTTAGTTAAATTAACCAACCAGGTTTTCAGCGATATTTATACAATATTCATCTTTTATATGTAGGGCCGACGAGAAAATCAACTATAAGTGTATTAATTATTATATTATTATATAAAATACGCATGGAGAGCGAGGAGAGAGGAAGACACTTTTCCTCTCTTAAATTTTGGTAAAGAAAAACAATTAAATTATAAAATTTTTTTTACAAAAAGGAAAAAACTGGAAAAAGATCACTAACAAGTTCATTAAAAATTGTTATAGTAAGGTCCATTCTATACAATATGTCGTATGTCGACGTAAGCAGTAAAAATCACAGTCGAATGTGATTGATCAATCTTACGATACCGGCATATGACATGTATATATTGTTATAGAAATCTTACGGCTTACGATTTATGGCTACTTGCAT